TGTGTAGTGTGGGCATTCTACACAATCGCCATAAATATTTTACTGGGGGCTTAGTGATAGAATAAGGTTTCTCTTTATAGGAAGCATCTGGCAGGGTGGACTTTTTGTTTGAATGAATGTTTGATGTGCTGTTTCCTTACACCATTTAAAGGAGGCTTTAATGAACCTACCAATTGTTTCTGGTGCTGTTCTTGTTGCCAGAAAATTGAACACAGAAGTTAACAAGGGACCAAAAGCAGGCAGTTTGAAATACACTTAGTGTCAAGTGTGCTTATCATTTTCTCTTATTCCCACATCAAAGGATGTTTGTAAGAAGAGAATTATATGCCATAGCCAATTATTTTTTAGAATGTTGAAAAAAACCTGGTGAATGTATTTATGAGGGATTTACTAGCATTTAGGGATAGCAGTGGATGTTTTGCTATGCTTCAAACTTGTTATTTCTCAATCAGCTTTATTGAGATGCAACTTATATAAAATAAAATGCTGCGATTTTAAAATGGTGGATGAGTTTTGACAAATGTGTGCTATCTTGTAGCTTCTGTCAAAACCAAGAAGTTTCTTTATTTCTCCCTCTGTTGTACAGTACCAGTTCCATGTCACCCTTATCACAATCAGAATATGCATTAGTTCCAGAATGTGAAAACATTTTTGTGTGTTGTCTCTTTGTGGTCAAACCCTCTCTTCATGCCAAACCTCTGGCAGCTAATGTTCTGTTTTCTGTCCCTATCATTCTGCTTTTTCCAGATGTCTGATAAGTGGGATCAGGCACTATGTGGTCTCTTGAGGCCAGTTTCTTTCCCGTTCTGTAATGCCTTTGAGAGTCAGTCATGTTGTTGCGTGTAGTAGCAAGCACTGTCCATCATGGGAAGCACATTCTTGCTCTTTGACCCTGTGAATGAGGGAGGTTGGGTTCTTTTCCCTTCTGGTGATTATTAATACAGCTATAGTAAACAGCCCTTTCCAGGTTTCCAGTGAGCACGGGTCTTATTTCTCTTGGGTAAATGCATGGGAGTGGAATTGCTGAGCCATGCGATAAGGATAGTTCTGGAAGACAGCGGTTGTGCCATTTTGTACTCCTGTCAGCAAAGTATGAGAATTCTGAAGGTTTCGTATGCTCACAAGCATGTGGCATTGTGAATTAAATTTTTTCTAGCCATTCTTTTGGTTATATAGTGGAATCTTATTGTAGTTTTAATTTGTAGTTTCTTAATGACTAAAGTTAGTGAAAATATTTTCTTGTGCTTATCTGTTGTCTTTGTGTCTTCATAGTGAAGTTTCTTTTCAAATCTTTTGCCAGATTTTTTTTTCTTTTCTTAATTGGATTCTAATTATATTTTGAGAGTTATTTATGTATTTATTCCAATATTCCTGTATTGGAGATGTGATTTACAGAAAAAAAAAATTAGTATCAAAGATTCCCTCTACATGTTTTTCTAAAAATAGCTTTACGTTTTATGTTTAGAACCATGATCTAATTTGAGTTAACTCTTGTTTCAAGTGTGGGGTTTACATCAGGGTGTTTTCTTTTTTGAAAAATGTACTTTTGTCAAAAATCAGTTGGCCATAGTTGTATGAATTCGTTTCTGTATTATGTTTTGTTGGATTCTTTTTCTTAATTATTTTCACTCATCTAGTCCTTTTACTGTTCCAAAAAAATGCTATAGTCAGCTTGTTTCTATCTACAAAAAAAATCCTATTTTTTGGTGATTTTTAAAAATCTTTAGATCAATTTGGAGAGAATTTATATCTTTTTTTTTTTAAGATCTTTTTTTTTTTTATGCTTACAGAGCTGGGGTATAAGCCAGAGGTGTGGTAGGTGAGAGGATTCACCAGAGACAGAGTGGTGAGCAGAACAGGCAGATGGATGAAGTACACTGCTGAGGGGAGCAGCAGGCGGGTCAGGAGAGGTCTGCTGCGCCATGTGGTTCTGCTTCCTGGCCGGGGATCGAACTCATGCTGCAGTGGCTTCAGAGAGCTTCATAATGTGGTGCTTTAACCTGTTGTGCCACCAGGGAGAGCCTCGATATCTTTTTTTTTTATAGTAAATCTTTTGATTCTTGAATTTGGTAAGCCATTTCACTTACTTAGGTCTTCTTGATTTCACCAACATTTTGTAGTTTAAGCATACATGTTTATTAGCTTTGTATTTGGAATTTCATTTTTTAGAAGTATACTAAATGGTATTTTAAAAAATTCAGTTTCTAATTCTTTGTTGCTAGTATGTGACTAATATTTACATGTTGACTTTGCTAAACTCACATGTTCTAGAAACTCTTCTTTGGGGTTTTATGTAGACAATCATATCATCTTCAAGTAGGGATGGGTTTAATTCTGTTGCATCTATGCTTTTGACTTCTTTCCCTGTTAGAGCTTCAGATATGGTGTTGACTAGAAATTGTGAGAGTGTGTATCCTTTCCTTAGCCCCAGTGGTGGGAGAGTGGTGTTCAGCTTCTTGACTTTCCTTATTGATATATATCTTATAGATTATGGAATTTTTATAAATGTTCTTTAGTGGCCCACCCTGGTGGCGCAGCGGGTTAAAAGCACAGCGCTGAGAATCTAAAGCCACTTCCGCATGAGTTGGATCCCCGCCTGACCACATGGCGTGGCAGATCTCTCCTGACCCGCCCGCTGCTCCCCTCAGCTGTATAGTTCGTCGATCTGCCTGTTCTGTTCCTCACTCTGTCTCTGGTGAAGCCTCTCACCGCCCCTGAGCCTCTGGCCTGTATCCCATGCACAAATACATAAATATTTTTTTAAAAAAAATGTTCTTTAGCAAATTGAGAAAGTTTTCTTTAATTCCTAGTTTGCAAGAGTTTTTGTATTGAGTGACGATTGCATTTTATCAGTTTTTTTTTGTGTCTGTTGATAGGTTCACTTATTTCTCCTTTCATCTTTTAGTCTGGTGAATTATATGGATAGCCTTTTGAATACCCAATTAACCTCACATTCCTGGAATAATCCTACTCATGATGTGATTAATCCCTTTTTACAATTTGCTAAAATTTAGCTGAGGGTTTTTGTGTTATGTTCAGTGAGAATTTCGTGTAATGTTTTTGTTTGGTGTTGGCATCAGGGTAATGCTGCTCTGTGAAACGAACTGGGGAATTCCTTTATCTTCTCTTTTCTAGAAAAGGTTGTGTGGAATTGGGACTATCCCTCTTGTAAGTATTTGGTAGAAATTGCTACTGAAATCATCTGGGTCTGGACTATTATTTTAAGTGATTTTAAATTACAAATTCATTTTGTAAGTAATTAGAAGACCATTTGGGTGTTCTCGTCTTTGGTGAATTTGGATAATTTGTGCTTTTCAAGGAAATGTGTTATTTCCTCTTTGTTGTCCAGTACACGTGCAGAGTTGTACGTATACCTCCCTATTTTTTCCCTTTTAATTGCTGTGATGAACCCTGTGGTGATCACCCCTCTTTCATCCTGGCTTGGTGCAGGTGTAGCAAAGGGAAGCATTTGACTCCTGCTCTTACCCGCTACTGGTGTACCGAGGGCAGGCGCTCAGCCCCCCGGGGTTGCTCCCAGAGGTAGGCCTTTGTAGCGTCTGTAGCCGTGGAAGCTAGGGGTGTTAATATCGGTGCCATCCCTTCCACCTTACTTTTGATGACCCTCCTGTGCTTATTTTCCAGCAAATCACTGAACTCAAGAAAGAAAACTTCAACCTAAAACTCCGCATCTATTTCCTCGAGGAAAGAATGCAGCAGGAATTCGATTGCCCCACTGACCTCATCTATAAAACTGTGAGCGTCCCACTTCTTCCTGTTTTCCCTCATGCCGCTTTTCAGTCATTCCGTGCAGAAATTTGATTAATATTTGTTCTCAGAGTTAGCATGCCTAGATAGCACTGCTTTCATTTAATTTGAATTTATTATGGGGAGTACGAAGATAATAGGATGACCTAATTTTAAGCAAAGAGGTATAATAAATAATTAGGAAAAGGCAACTGAGACGAAGACAGAATTCTGATTTTTCGAAGACTTCCTTAGACTTCCTTAATAAAAAGGAAGTCTTCGAAAAATCAGAATTCTGTCTTCGTCTCAGTTGCCTTTTCCTAATTATTTATTATGTAGACAAAGACAGTGAGGCAGTGGAATAGCTTTGCAGTTGAATCCTGCTGTTACCAGCTGACGTGTGTAAGCGTAGGCAGGTCACTGAGTTCTCTGGGGTTGCTCTGAGAGGTAAGTGATAACCCCTCTGTCGTAAGGTGCTTTGTGCGGATTCAAATGAGCTGACAGACGAGAAGCCCGTACGTGGTCTGTACTGTGCAGTTATCGTCGTCTCAGGGAGCCTTCCACTGGCGGCCCAGAGAGAGAGTTAGTGTTGTCAGTTTCCCTGTGCCGTGATTCTTCTGTATTCCCCAGAGCTTGCTTCTCACTGTCAGAAAGAAATGTCTCTGCCATCTGATGTCTTGAGCTGGAGGTCTCTGCCTAAAAACAAACCTTGCTTCTGTAAGTTGAAAGCGAACTTGGCTTTCTCGAAAGGAGACGAGTACAGACACTATTTCAGTGCCCATTTCTTGGCTTTCTCTCCTAAACCAGCCCTGGGCCTGGGAATTATTCCATCCTTTCTCTTTAGAAATTTGCACCAGTGGAAACTTTTGAGGAAGCAAAAGAGCTCTCCTTGAGTTTCAGCAGATGAACTTAAATGGACTGGTCTTGAAGAGAGATTGTACTGTACTTGTTTTTTGTCAAGAGTTGAAAAGCCTTTTGTCCTTCAAGACACGTTTTTTTGCCTTCTGTGTGGGAGTGGAAAAGCTACGAAGATGTCCCCTTTTTGGGGAGGGGGCGGAGATACAGTCAAAACTTTAAAGAATAGCCTCAAATATTTTATATGGAAATACAGTTGCCACATGTCTCAGGCTCACAGGGAGCAAGACATGGGAAGCGTCTGCTCCCTCAGGCTCTGTCTGGACATTTGCACAGGTCTGGCCTGTGTAGTGGGTATTATTCTTACCTTTCAGGAGAGGAAGCTCAAGCTCAGGCAGGACCCGTCATTTGCTTGATGGCCTATAACCACCTTGGGAGGTAGATTTTCAGCCCCATGTCCTGACTTCAGTGCAGTGCTGTTGCAGCTGTTTCTTGTTGTCTGGTTAACTCACTTGATTTCATGGCACTTTTATTTCAGTTGAAATTTTTGGATTAGGGTACATGGCACAAAAGTGAAAAAGCACAGAAGGCACATACTGAAAAGTTTCTTCTGCCCCTCTGAATGTAGCCATTAATAGTAACTCCGTCTACAGAGAACTTTTTATATATGCCAGCAAGTGCGTGTGTGTGGATGTGTGTTAAGCCGCCTGCGTATATCAGTGCAAGAATGTTCCATTGTATACCTTGCTTCCTTTCCCTGAAGGCTATCTTGGATATCTTCCTTTCATAGTAGTTCAGGGGCTCCTTCATTCTTTTTTTTTATTCTGCTTTATGCTTATAAGCTATCTTGATTTTTGGTTTAGAAATGATTACCATGTATATGAGCTTATAACTTATGTTTTGTTGGTGTACATTGGGCTTGGGAATAATAGTAGTGTTGCCTCTTCAGTGTACTCGGTTGGGTTGCCAGGGTTCACCGGAAAGCAAACAGGCTATATGGTATCAGCTCTTTACAGAGCAGCTTTCTGCCCTCCCCAGAACTGGGAAAGGATTGCCCTACTTGATGGCGCTTTCTGCAGTTTTCACACCTCAGGGCATTGGGTATTGCCACTTAGTGTCCTTTATGTAAAGATCAGCTTCTTCTAGAAAAAGTTCCGCTTCATGGATGATGCCTTTAGTTCCTGCTATTGACAGTGAAAAAAAGAAAACAGTGGAACCTGTCTCCTGGACGCACCTCGCTCACTACCTCATTACATCCTCAAACCCCCCTTGTCAGGCGGCCTGTGTGTCCCTCATTTGACACTTGAAGCACCTGCGAGGAGAAGCCCTGCTTCCTCGGAGAGAGGTTGCAGGCTCGCTCTCCTAGCCTGTGATCAGTGCTAGCATGAGGGAAGGGCCTGTGTGTGTCTTATTTACCACAGTGTTTTCGCTCCTTCAGCCACGGTTGGGCTGTCACTGGCCGTTGGTCAATGTCCCTGAAGTGGGCGACGCAGAATTTGAACCCATGTCCTCCTGCTCCTACGCTCATGGTTTCCATTTTGCCTGACTTCTCCACCTGGGCACTTGTGCCCCCAGGGCTTCCTGGCACAAAGGAGAGTGTGCACATGACTGGGAATGTTATTTAAAATAGTACACCTGTATTACGGGTGGCATGTGAAATGGCACGAGTTACTAAGAAACAGGAGCAAGAGTTCGGAGAAATCGTGGATTGGCAGCAGTCTTCTGCAGACCGCACGTCCACAGCCCTGTCTCTGCCACATGAATTCCTCCACTGTTCTATCTGGGATACACTTGTGCACAGGCTTGAGAAGCCTGTTGCTGCCCCGCTGGCTTACCCTGAGATCCGTTTGCCAAAGATTCTGCCTTTGGAGACGCGCACGTGTTATGAGCCCCAGGCCATGTGTGACTCCCTTCGTTGCAGCCTGTAAGACGAAGACAGTGGGTGGGAAAGCACTAGAGGCAGCTAGTCCCTTGCGGTTGCGGTTCATTTGTAAGCGAAGGCCCAGAAATCTTACATCAAACGAGACAGGCAGTGACGCGGCTTCCACTTACCCGTCCACATGCTTTATTTCTTGTAAGCTGTAACACGTTCCCACTGCTACAGCCACCGCATGCGTGATTGTAAACAACCAGAAGTAATTGCCTGGGAATGGTAAAAGCAAACTGCAGAATTGCTTGTAAATTTGCTTGGTGGAGGGCAAACAATTTTTAAATCAGCCTCACTTGTATGACATTTATGCCTCGATGTTTGAATGCTCAGGCTGTTAGAAGCTTGGAAAATTTACATAATTGTTCCAACTCTCAGAAATCCAGGGCTTGCTTTGAGACCACCAGTGTTTAATAATTCCCTGCTCCCTGCGCCCTGAGGCTAATGAGGTTTTGGATGCAATAGCTGCCTGTGCCGAGCAGTGCATGCAGTCCACGTGAAGCCCATCCCCCTGCAGACATGCGGATAGCCCGCGTCTGATGCTCTTTCTCTTCTTTCCCCATCTTGCCTGGAAGAATATCGAGCTCAAGGTGGAGGTGGAGAGTCTGAAGCGGGAGCTCCAGGACAGAGAGAAGCTGCTCATCAAAGCCTCGTGAGTACCACCTCCATCTCGCTCGCAGATGGCTCTGCCCGACGGCAGCGCCGGGGGCCGGTGCCTGCAGCTTTGTACTTTCTAAGCCAGCTGTTCTCCAGCTGGGCTCCAGGACCCCACAAAGGGCTTTTTTGGAAGTTTAACTCTTTCCAACAAACTTTGGGTGTAACATGCATGCGTACAGGAACGTATAAAGAGCCAAAGGCGCAACAGAGCACATTTCCCCTCAGCTCACACCTGTGGCTGGACCATCCTCCAGATCCCAGAAGTCTCTGGTGCTTCCAGAACTTACCCTGCTCCCACAAAGATGACCACGATTCTGACCACGTGGTCGCCATTCTCGTAGTACCCACTCAACAGAAATGGAGGTGTCTGTGCATGAGCATCTTTGGTGTCTGGCCTCTCTCCGTTGGGATCCAGACAGATACATGGGGCTTGCTAGAAGGGTGCTGGTGGTAAAACAGTTGCAATAGTAAATGTATAAATACAGATTGGCAAAAGTTATGAGGAAAATGAAGGAAGCGTTGAGAGCGACAGCAGCAGTGGTGGCGTGTAAATATAACGCATGGCAGGGGAGATGGCCCGAGGAGGTGGCATTTGCGATGCGGTCTGAGGAGCGAGTAGAAATGGAGCAGGGCCTAGAGAAAAGGTGTCGGTGGGGGAGGGCATTGGCAGTCTGCAGAAGTTGGGGGTGGTCAGTCTTGTCTCACAAGGTCTTCAGGCCACACTGGAGATTTAGACCGTTATCCTAACATCAAACAGAAAGCTGCTTAGGGTTTTAAAACTGACACAATCAGAGATTTGTTTTTTAAAAGGTCACTCTGGCTGCTGAGTGGGAACTGCTTTGTGGAGACCACAGGAGTGGATGCGGGGAGGCTGGTAGTTTCGGTGAGAGGGTGAAAGACTTGCGAAGACATTGACGAGGGGCCTCTGTGGTGGCACAGGGGGTTCAGCCTTGGCACTATTAAGCTGTCGCCAGCCACTGCAGCATGAGTTCGATCCCTGGCCAGGGAGCTGACCCACATGGCACAGCAGTCCTCTCCTGTCTCCCGGCTGCTCCCCTCAGTAGTGTTAAAAAACAAAACAAAACATGGAGGAAACAGCCTGTGGGACTTGGGAAGAGCTGGCAAGGAGCTGCCTCCCACTCTGGATCCCAGCAAAGGCCCAGAGGCAGGCCGGCCATGTTGTGCTGCGCTTCTCAGACGCCGCGGCTTTTTAGGAGCCGAGGGCTCATCAGGCCTGTGTCCGCCGCTCGCTGCGTGCCTGCAGGCGTGTGCACCCCGGCAGTCCTCACGGTTCTGTCCTCATCACATCTGCCGTGGTGAGGGGGATCTGATTTCTCTCTTGTAATTGCACCAGCAAACTCGATGAAGACTTAGAAAATGGCTAATATATTTTAGTGTGAAGCGTTTTTTAATTAAGGTAGGTCCATTGTTTGTGTAAACAGAATGCTGTTGCACACTTAGTAGACTACAGGGTAGTGCAGACCTAACTTATACGTGCACCGGGAAACCAGAAACCCCACGTGACTCTCTTTACGGTGATGTTGCCGTATCCACTGGTCTGGAACGGGCTGAACCGAGCTGTACTGAGGCGCCCCTAACGCCGCAGCCGCCGTGCCTGCTCTCAGCAGACGGGCAGCGGCCCTCCGGCCCTCCTGCCCCACTGCTGCCTAGCCTGAGCGCCTTCCTGTCACTGGCGCTGCAGGACGGCGTGTGCGGAGTCTCACGAGGCACTTCCATATGTGGGCACTGCCTTGTGGCTGCACATCCTCACGCGCGCCATCGTCCTGGGAGCCAGGCAAGTCTCTAGGAAACCCTCATTTTCTCCAGGGGGACTTTCAGCCTGGAGAAGGGGAGGATCACGACTAAACTGCTGAGCCAGAGCGATCAGAGCTGGGGATCCGCGCTGGGGCCCGGACGAAGCCCCTGCCTGCTAGTGCCGCGCTCCATTTCTCCTCCTCTGTGTCCCCTGGAGTGACTTGCTTCCCTCCAACATGACTATCCACTTTCTAGGCCCAGGGCCTGTCCGCCTGTGGGCCGTGGGAAGGCTGGGGGCTCTGGGCCGGCTTTGCCTGAAGGCAGGACTGTGACCCTGAGCCTCGGCTCCTGGGCTGTTCCTGCTTCAGAGTCTGCAGATGACCC